GGATGACAGCCCCCATCATTCCTGTTGGTTGGGCAGATGGGAGTTGAAATCCAATGGCAAATGAATGGTCATAGTTTCCCATCTCTGTGTGCTTCTATGGAAGATGCCAGAGAATGAAGCAGTGGTGTGTGGTCAGTGGACTAGGGGGACAAGGCTAGTCCCCTAAATGTACCCCTGGCACCTCCTTCCCAAAGCCCAGGAAGCTTCTGCTCAGCTTAGGGAGGGAGGCACAATGTTCTGGCGGGGTTCAAAAGCCCTCCTGCCACCTTCCCAAAGCCTGCTTGGCTTTGGAAAGGAGGCAGAATCCTGTCAGAGTCCTGGCACCTCCTTCCCAAAGCCCAGGAAGCTCCTGTCCACCTTAGGGAGGGAGGTGTGATGCTCAAGCATGCAACGTTAGCACATCAAGATGTCCCATGGATGACATCACCCCTCAATTGCCCTCGCAAGCTGGTGCCTCTGGTGCTAATGAAACATTTCACCGCACGCCACTAGAACAAAACTGGGTGGTTATATAGGTAAAGCATGCTCTCTCCCTCAGAGAGTTTCTGCACCCAAAGCTCTTAACTTTCATTGGCATTTGGTAAGGAGCCTTCTCTAGTGGCTGAGGTCCATGGTATCTCCACAAAGGGTTGGGAAACACTCCTGTGCAAAACATTAGTTGCTGCAAGTCACTGCAGAAAGTCTTGGAGGTAGATGGACCAGTATAAGTAGGGATGTTTGAGAGATTTGAGCTTCCAAAATTCTTATAAGAATTGGTTGGATCAGCACTCCTAGAGCAGTTGCCATCTTGTCGGCTGAGGAGCTGACAGTAACATCTGGAGGATACTAGGTTGGCAAAGGCTAACATGTGGAACAGAACTTAGTCACCATTTTTCATACTTCTGGCATGTTTCTACAAACAATATAGTTCCCCACTGCAAAAAAAAGCCCATTTTGAAAGCAAATATGTTTAGAAATGTAAAATTTGAGCGGAAATGCATATAGAAATATATATTTTAATATGCATTTAAACTAGGTGGGGTTAATGCAGTTGCGTGGCAAGGTCCCAAACCCTCCCAGGAAGTGGAATAAAGACACGTGAAACAGGATTTTGGGTTAATAGGCGAAAAAGGCCACAACTTCATTGGTGACAGAATGTGAGTGGTTTGGCTTAGGCATTGGAAACCACATGACTGTATCTGACTCCTGCCCGTCTACAGGAAGTCTTGGAAGGGTTAACAACCAGTAGGGGGAGCCCTCCTGGTGCACATCAACTAGGAACTCCCCCAGGGTCACCACTAGGGGTTGTGCCATGGCCCTAGCCCCCCGTCTGGGGCTTCGGACAGAGACCATGCCTCTCGGATTCCTTTAATGGAATACCTCTGACCTGCTGCGGGCAGTTTTAAATAGCCCGCACCAAGCCCCTGGACCATCCAGACTGGATGGCCTAAGGATGACGTGGCCAGAGACCCTCCAATGGTGCAGGGAGGGCTTGCTCCCAGCCCACAACGTCATTTCCCTGGGAACGGGAAATGGCTAAACAGGACAGAATAAACTTGTGAACACATGTAAAAGTAACATGGACTTCCTGGTGTCTGGAACGCAGCTCTTTCCCTAAACACAAGGCAGCTTCTGCTGTGGCTGTGGGAAGTGAGCACATTTCATGCTCACTTCCAACACTGACTGCTAAAAGGATCACATTTTCATGGCTTGGCAAAAATGTCGAAAGCCAGCCTTATGACACAAATGCTTATGACATTCGGTAGCAAATCACAACGCAGTGATTATCCAAAAAGCTGTACTTTTCATAATTTCAGATCTCTTTTCAGCTGTCCTAAATGCTGTCATTTACTGGTAAATGATGGAAATGAGAATGAAATGGGGTCATCTAGCATTTGGACGCTTCTCAAGAAGTACAACTTAGAATCTTCTGTCAAAAAGTTCTTACTTTTTTCTCATTGGCATCCTAAAATCTTTGTATTCTCCATTAAGCACTGACATTCTCTGGGTCCCATGCACACACTTCTGAATTTTGTCTGGACCCAGCACTTATGCACAGTGTATCCGTACTATAAAACAGGGGATTCATTTCTTGATACTTTGCTATGGTTTTATGAGTGCTCCTTGACAGATAGCTGTAAAAAAAAGTCCTTTCAATCTTTATCAGTCCAATATATTCACAAATGGTTCTTCCAATTGACCTTCAGATGGGATTTCCACAAGCACTTTGGTTTCTGGCCAGTTCAGTACTTCTCCAAAGTGCTCAATCCCTCATCATTTCTTCCTGCTGAATTGTGCATATCGCTGTTAGCAGAGTTGGTAAAAGGAGGTTTAATGCATGCACCTTTTCTTCCTCATTTCACTTTGCAATATTAGTGGCGGTGGCGGGAGGATTCACACGTGTGGAGTTGCATCCAGAGCAGTAGTCACAACCACAATCCCAACACCAGCAATGCTACAGTTTACCTGGACAGGTCAGGGGTGAGGTTGGGGCTGCATGGACGCATCACTGGAGCCCACCCCACCCCTGCCCTGCCCTCCCCAGATAAACTACAGCAATGCCAGTGTTGAATAGGCGGCTTGGTGACTACTGCCACCCTACTGTAGGGTCCAATACGTTGCACTAGTGACTAGACTGATGATGGAAACACACTACCGCCAAAATATGCCTCCAGTGTTCAAAAGCCATGTTCAGGTTTCTTGTATTGATTTTCAAGGTTCTGAATGAATCCAGGACTCCCTAACGCCTTATATTGAAATATAATACAGGTGTTGAATACAGCACAATATATTATGGGCTGTCCCATGAATCCACTGGATGAAATAGCGGAAGATCGTTGCCTCAGGAGAGTGAGGAAAATTCTCAGGGATGATTCACACCCTGGCCGGCAATTTCTTGATCTCCTGCCCTCAGGCAGAAGATATAGAAGCATGATTAGTCGCACCAACAGGGTAAAGAACAGCTTCTATCCATGGGCTGTTAGGCTGCTGAATGAAAAGATAACAGGGCAACTGACTTTCTGGTTTGGTGGGTGTGCATCAGTAAACGAGGGGAATTAAGACTAAGAGAGCTGAGTGGGGGGGTGCTTGTGTAATCTCACTGTATACAAGTTGTACAAAGTATTTCAGTTTCAATACCTGTGCCCGATCACTGAGATCTTTGGAGACTTCTTAGCAGTCCCTCCATAGCTCACATGCGCAGAGCAATGTGGAAGAGCTGAAGGCTGCTATTGAAGCTTCCTGGTCTTCCATAACACCTCAGCAGTGCCACAAGCTGATAGCATCCATGCCACACCGCATTGAGGCAGTAATTGATGCAAAAGGGGCCCAAACCAAGTACTGAGTACATGTGCATGCTTCTACTTCTCAGAGGTCCAATATTGCTCTATTTGCGGTTCTTGTTCTGCTGATTTCATTTAATATTCTAATTTTCTGAGATTGTTAATTTGGGGTTTTCATCAGCTGTACACCATAAACATCACAATTGTAACAAATAAAGGCTTGACATATCTCGTTTGCATGTCATGAGTCTATCTCATATATTAGTTTCACCTTTTAAGTTGCATTACTGAAATAAATGAACTTTTCCACAATATTCTAATTTTTCGAGTTTCATCTGTATTATGGGCTCAATGTTAAGAAGCTCCCTTCCAGCTGAGGCCAGACAGGCCCCCTCCCTGTTGGACTTTTGCTGTCTATTGAATAATAATAATTTATTATTTATACCCCGCCCATCTGGTTGGGTTTCTCCAGCCACTCTGGGCTGCTCCCAACAGAATATTAAAAACACACTAAAACATCAAGCACTAAAACCTTTCCTATACAGGTCTGCCTTCAGATGTTTTCTAAAAGTCAGATAGTTGTTCATGACATCTGATGGAGGGCGTTCCACAGGGCAGGTGCCACTACCGAGACGGCCCGCTGCCTGGTTCCCTGTAACCTCTCTTCTCACAGTGAGGGAACCGCCAGACAGCCCTCAGAGCTGGACCTCAGTGTCCAGGCTGAACAATGGGGGTGGAGATGTTCCTTCAGGTATAGTGGGCCAAGGCCGTTTAGGACTTTAAAGGTCAGCACCAACACTTTGAATTGTGCTTGGAAACGTACTGGGTGTTGGGATACTGCCAGGGAGACAAAGGCCATCATGCCCCCACGCCGTCTCCGGACGATTCATCGACCTCCCGTAGAAACGCAGTATGAGTCAATTAGTGACACAAGCCTCAGAATTAGCTTGCCACATTCCAGGGCTTGTGCACGCTCTTTCAGCAGAGTTCGCACAGCGAAAGATGCACCCAGGAGAGCATTATTTACAACTTTATTCAGCGTTGGTCAGAACAAAGAAAACATGACTGCCTACTTCGATGTCCAGACGCAGAGAGAGAAACAAAAGCTATGTACAAAACATAAACTTCCTGTGAGCAGGAAATACGTAGGCTGTGACTCACAACAGCCTGTCCCCTTTTTAAGGTGGAACGGAAATATCCTAACATGTAGGTCTTTCAAGACTGGTGTTATGTGGTCTCAGCAGCCACTCCCAGTCTCCAGTCCAGCTGCCACATTCTGGATTAGTTGTAGTTTCTGGGTCACCGTCAAAGGTAGCCCCACATAGAGCTCATTGCAGTAGTCCAAGCGAGAGATAACCAGAGCATTCTCCACTCTGGCAAGACAGTCTGAGGGCAGGTAGGGTCTCAGCCTCTATACCAGATGGAGCTGGTAGATAGCTGTCCTGGACACAGACTTAATCTGCACCTCCATGGACAGCTGTGAGTCCAAAATGACTGACGACTTTTTTTATTCTAGCAGGCATTTTAATGGAATTCTGACATTATACTTTAAACCGCATCTCTCTCTGTGTGTTGTATTCCTTGTGCAGCACGTAGAGACAATTGCAATTAAGCAGGAAATAAATTGTTTTAATAAATAAATAAAATGAGAAACCATCTGGGCTGAGAGATTTCATAGAATGATAGAATTAGAAGGGACTTTGGGAGATATCTAGTCCAACCCCCTGCAATGCAGGAATATGCAGCAGTCTTGTATGGGGATCAAACCTGCAACCTTGGCATTATCAGCACCACGCTCTAACCAACTGAGCTATGCAGCTGATTGGTTGGTTTTTAATTTGTCCATTAAGCATAAGACTTCATTTCTTCTCACCACTACTTACTTCTCTCTCTGGCCCCTCTCTCCCTTACCATATACAGTGGTACCTCGGGTTACAGACGCTTCAGGTTACAGACACTTCAGGTTACAGACTCCACTAACCCAGAAATAGTACCTCGGGTTAAGAACTTTGCTTCAGGATGAGAACAGAAATCGTGCTCCGGCGGCACGGCGGCAGCAGGAGGCCCCATTAGCTAAAGTGGTGCCTCAGGTTAAGAACAGTTTCAGGTTAAGAATGGACCTCTGGAAGAAATTAAGTTCTTAACCTGAGGTACCACTGTACTGTATGCTTGTTTGTTTGTTTGTTTGCGCGTGTGTATAGCCTTGTACTGAAAGCCTAACGACGCGCTTTACAAAACGTCAGACCCTGACCATATAGGATTTTAGAAGCAAGTTGATTTAGATGGTTACTTCCCAGTAAATGTATTTAGAGTGCAGACAAAATCATTGCCAAGGGTCTGCTTACATTCTGAAATACAGGCAAAGGAAAAACGATAGGCCAGAAATCAGACTACGAGAGACCAAAAGTATAATATGGATGTGATTAAATGCAAATGTCAAAGAAACACTCACAGAGTAGTAAGTAGACTGGACAAGGATGAAGGAACAGTGGTGCTAAAAGCAGATTAAATAAAATTTACATAAATAATGCAGGCAAGCTCACTTTGGGAATAAAATGAAAAAGACAGCAGTCATTGGCCATCCATATACAAGAGAAAAACTTATCTCAGGATCTAGAATATCAGGGTTTGTTTTAAATTTGCCTTTATACAGTTTACATGCTTATTTTTCAATGAAATATCAAGCCTAATTTTATTGAACATTTGCTCCAGAGGTGGAGATTAATGTTTTATAACCCTTCAGCAAATAACCAAGTTTGCCAAAGCCTCAACTCTCAAGCAACTCCTTCCAAAACTTCAATCAATAACAATGCGAGAGTTAGATGAAAATCAGATTGTATCATTACAGCCAAAGCACCACAGGGAACTCATAAGGAAAAGAAGTGGGGTCTCCAGGTGGCATCCGATGATTTCACCACAGGATTTCTGGTTTTTCTCTGCTTTCCTGTACCATCAAAATCAGCTTCAGGGTCCTTCACCAGAAAGGTTTTTGAGGGCATGCAGGGGCTGCAGGGGGCACAGGTGGAGATGAAAGAGAAGTTATGTTGTGTGAGTGGACTACTGCAATGAGCTCTACATGGGGCTACCTTTGAAAGTGACTTGGAAACGTCAATTAATCCAGAATGCGGCTGCTAGATTGGTGACTGGAAGCAGCCGCTGGGACCACATAATCTGGTCCTAAAAGGTCTACATTGGCTCCCTGTACATTTCTAAGCACAATTCAAAGTTTCGTTGTTGAACTTGAAAACCCTACGTGGCTTTGGCCTTCCACCACCACCGTTCAGCCTGGACACTGAGGTCCAACTCCGTGGGCCTTCTGGCAGTTCCATCATTACAAGAAATAACTTTTGTGCTCAGCAATAAAAAGATGAAAGCAGTATTGGTGTATAATGGCTACATCAGGCATAGGCAAACTCAGCCCTCTAGATGTTTTGGGACTACAACTCCCATCATCCCTAACTAACAGGACCGACCAGTGGTCAGGGATGATGGGAGTTGTAGTCTCAAAACATCTTTAGGGCCGAGTTTGCCTATGCCTGGGCTACATCTTCACTTAACTCTGCAGCCACATCAAAGCAGTGCTGTGAATTAATTGGGAAGGGATGGGAGGAGGGAAGAGATGGTCTGCTCTTATCCACCCAGGGTACTGGCCTGGTTATACCAGAAATGCCCTCAGGTGGTCTGATCACACCCAACCCTTTCCAGGGGGAAACTGCACTGAGCAAAGGCAGGCCCCCCTCCCATAGATGCCTCAAATCTGTAGAGTAGTGCAAAGTAGTCCAGAAGACATAAAATAATCCTTCCTGGTCTTCAAAAGAGTGACTGGGTGCGGCCTGCATTAATCCTGCAAGCTAAGTGGAGAGGACAGGTTGAGCTGCCCATCTGGCTCAACCGAGACCAGTCCATAGGGTCTTTTACAGGGCCTCACAAATTTCATTTTCCATATCCCATGAGATGGGTAAATAAAATCCCTGTTCTCAGAAGATTTGGGCTCAGCAAGAGGCTGTGGGACTGCGCCAGTGGCACAAACCAGTACAAAAAGTTTTTGAAGAAAAGGAAAATAGCTGTCCTTTACAGTGAGCCAAAATGAAGAGGAAATATAAACCGTTGGTTAACCTGGACTTTTCAGTAAGGTCCTATAAGCCGAAACCTTTTTTGTTGTTGTTGTTTAAAAGCGGTTTTCTTTAGGGAGCCTGTACTGGCAAGTGAAGCCAATGACAAGAACCAGGCAAAGGCACACCTTCAAAGGTTCTAAACGTATAAACGTGCAGTGCTGAGGAATGGTTCCCTGATCAGAAACCCTGAATTGTCCACCCCAAGCCCTGCCTTATTTCTTCCCCCAAACATCAAGCGAAGGGGGGAGGGTGGCTTAGAGAAACCAAGAGGGGTGAGGTTTAAGCGCACAGTCTATTCCAAGCCCCGGCAGCCTTTAAAATTTTACAGGGGGCTCCCGATTTAAGTGGTACCAATGGAAGGGATGGCAGGGTAAATTAAACCCACGCTAGAAGAGTAATAAATCAATAAACGGCAGGCACAAACACACGCTGCAAGCACACACACACACACACGACTTAAAATTAGAGAGGAACAGGAAAAGGAACCCTGAGGATCATCTAGTCCAACCCCAGCAAGGCAGAAATATTCAGCTGTCCCATACAGGGATCGAACTTGCAACCTTGGCATTATCAGCACCATGCTCTAACCAACTTAGCTATCCAGGCTCTCAAGGACAATGGAGGGGGAAAACGCACAAGCACCCTGGCCAACAAATTAAAATGTAAGGCAAACCCACTCAGTCACCCAGACCAGCCATGCAATTGGACAGGCAAGGGCAATAGAGGGGAAAACGTACAAGCACCCTGGCCAAAAATTAAAATAAAACACACAGCCACCAAGGCAGAGGCAGGGGAAGGAAAGCGAGGAGACGAGGGAGAAAGAAAGACGGAGCCACACTCACACTCAGACCTCGCTGGGGGCACGTGCTGGGCAAGGGAACAAACTGTAGCTTAAGAAAGGTAATTCACACTCAGACCGCACAAGCAAATCAAGCACCAGGAGTGGGGGGAAATAGAAGGTTAAATGTAGGTTTTTACACGGAAAAGAGGACACAGCAAGGCAAACCTGGATGCCTGGGTTTTTAAAGCAGTAAAGCAATGAGCGCACGCAAGCCTCCTAAAGTTAAAAGGCTAGCCAGGAACCAGGCAGCCTCCACACACACAGACCCCCCCCCCCCGACTCCAAACCTCGTGGCTCTTCCCTGTGATGACTGTGATGACTCCTAGCTGATGACTCGCGATGGGATGACGAAAAGTGAGGCCGGAAGGCTGGTGCCGCAGCAATTTGGGCTGCTAAACACGCCCCCTCACAGGCACCTGGTTGGGTGCCTGCCCGTGGGCGTGGGCCAGCCAGGTGAGTGGGAGGCAGGGGGCTAACGCCCCCTGCTTGAGGCGGAGTCCGGCTCCCGACCACAACCACTCCCCTCTCTTGCAAGAGGAGAGTCTTTCTCAGAAGATTTGGGCTCAGCAAGAGGCTGTGGGACTGCGCCAGTGGCACAAACCAGTACATTCAATGCTGCACTTTCACAGCTCTACAGACTAGGGCATTAAACTACCTTGAGTTCTTTTGCTTGAATATTGGTGAAAAATTGAAATGCAGCCTACAATGACTCATTATTTTGAAAGTTGAAGTAGAGGAGGGACAGAAGGAAAACAGTTTTATATTCTAATCAGGTGTGCTAATAGTATATTCTCAATGAGTCAGACATTCTTTAGTGCATTCCTTTTGTTCTGTTACGTCCTGGAATAACAACTCTCTAGACAAGCGGGGAAAGTGGATGGAATATTCAATTTTGTTGGGTAAGGACTTAAAATTGCAACCTTTTTTATGAACCATGTGCCTCTTCCCTCCACCATTACTTTCTGCAATTTTGCAGGCTTCAGCTTGCTATTCTGTGATTCTATTATAATCTGTCTCTTACAGATCAGCACTTCTGTAGTTATTCAGACTGGTTCTGTATTGGCGCGCGCGCGCACACACACACACACACACACACACCAGGTTGAACTAAATGCATATTTTTGAACTTCCAGGAAGGTTTCAGAAGAGGCTTAGAAATAAGACCAGTTCCAGGATCCAAACTTTCTCCATGAAATGCATCTGGAGAGCTGGTTGGAATTGCAGTTCAAACTGTGGAGCTGGGCTGTCCACAGTTATAGACACAACTGCTCAGAGATCATTGCTGTGATTGGAACAATGAAACAAATGTGCTACAACAATGGCAGGAGTCTTCACAAAATAAGGCTACAGATTAGGCATGGGAACTTCTGCCCTGTGAGATGTTGCTGAACTAAAACTCCTATCACCAAGAAAGGTTGTCCATGTCTTCTATAGATGCAGCTGTAGCCTAGAGTTGCCATATTTCAAAAAGTGAAAATCCGGATGCAATCTAGCCAGGGACAACCACAAGCAGGAAGCCTGCAGGAAGCACACAAGCAGAATCTGGGCACAACAGACAACAGAGCTTGCCCGTGGAGACTGTGGTGTCTTTATGTGAACCACCCTGAGACCTCTGGGTATAGGGCGGTATATAAATTCAATAAATAGTGATATATGTTATTCCCAACAACTGGTATTCAGAGGCTTACTCTGCCTATAACAAATGCGTTTCCCTCCCAGTTGGTGCATTACATGGAAAGGATTACTGAACATGAACTCGGCATCAAATTCAACAGTGTTTACTCTCAGGTAAGTACATATAGGATTGCAGCCTCAATCGTCTTGCCTCAGTTCCATAAAATAGCTTCTTTTCACCAGGGC